ACCGGAGACCTCCCCAGCCCTGCTGTGGACGGGGAAGGTTGGCGATGCGTCGGCGTTCCGGGTCTGGGGATCTCGGGCGTTTGTTCGCGACCTGTCTGCGGACAAGCTGTCCCCTCGTGCTTCTCCCTGCGTCTTCCTGGGGTTCCCCCCCGACGCCCCTGGGTGGCAGTTTTACCACCCCACCTCTCGACGTGTTCTGTCCTCCCAGGACGTCACGTTCGACGAGTCGGTACCCTACTACCGCCTCTTCCCCTACCGCACTCCGTCCCTCCCCCCACCCCCGCTCTTCTTGGTACCAGGTCCCCCCCCGGTAGTCCCCCTCCCCCCTCAGGGTCCTGCCCCTTCAGGTGTGTCCCAGGTAGACGCGGTCGAGCCTGTCGAGGTCACTGGTGACTCTGGTGCTGCTGCGGGAGCTGAGCCTGGGGGTGCGGAGTCTGGGGGTGCTGAGCCTGGGGGTGCTGAGCCTGGGGGTGCTGAGCCTGGAGGTGCCGAGCCTGGGGGTGCTGTGCCTGGGGGTGCTGTGCCTAGGGGTGCTGAGCCTGGGGGTGCTGCGCCTGGGGGTGCTGTGCCTGGGGGTGCTGAGCCTGGAGGTGACGAGCCTGGGGGTGCTGTGCCTGGGGGTGCTGTGCCTAGGGGTGCTGAGCCTGGGGGTGCTGAGCCTGGGGGTGCTGTGCCTGGGGGTGCTTCGTCTCGCCGGGAGCCACTCTCCCCACAGGAGCTGCGTGAGTGGTTTGCCAGGCGCTGGAGGCGTGCTGCTGGTACTGGTGGTTCTTCGGCTGCAGAGGGTACTGCTGCCGCGCGTCCCGCCGGTGCTCGTACTGTGGGTGCTGGAGCTGCTGGGTCTGAGAGTTCTCCTGGAGCTGGTACTGCTGAGGGTGTTGACGCTGAGCCTGCCGTTGGCGGTCCGACTGACAGTGCTCCTGGTGCTGCTGCTGGAGGTTCTGGAGCTTCTGGTGGTGCTGCTGGAGGTGCTGCTGGAGTGGGTGCTCCTGCCGGGGCCGCTGGTGCTGTTCCTGCTGTTTCTAGTGTCGCCGCGCGGCCCCGACCGTACTTCGTTCCGCTCCTGCAGCAGGTTCTTGGTCTTCCACCTCCTCCTCCTCCTCCCTTAGAGGGTCCGCAGCCTGTCCGGTCACAGCCACAGCTACAGCCTGCCTCCCCTTTGCCTGCTCCTTCTCCCTACACTGGTCCGACTGGAGGTCTTACTGAGCGTCGTGAGCCTGCGTCTCGTCCTGTGTCGCCTGTTCGTACTGAGCGCGCTAGTGGTCGCGGGTCGCGTCAGCGTCCTCCTCCTGTCCCTGGCACGCACCGGATGTCACTGCGTCCGTCCACTGCTCCTCTGCGTGCCCCTTTGCCTTCTCCTCCTGCTTCCTCTCTTCCTGCTCTTGCCGACCCGGAGTCGGACTCTCTTCGTGCTGCCAGTCCTACTGTCACGCGTCTCCTTGCTACTGCTGTCACTGACCCTTCCTTCGAGTCGTCTGCTGCGTCTGCCCTTGTCACTGAGCTTGTCGACTTTGCTGCGCGCTGTCGTCTAGACTACGCTGCTCGTCTTGTCACTGAGTCTGAGTCCGCCTGTCCTCCGTCCGTCGGGGGTGAGTGTGCCCTTGGCACGGACGTCCTTGAGGACAGGCAGGAGGAGTTCCAGTGTCTGGCCGCCGCTTCACCTCGTCTCGCGTCTGTACTGCTAGCCCCTGAGGGAGACCCGGATGCACCAGACATCCCGACTCCGCGCTCTTACGCGGAGGCGATAGAGGGTCCCTACTCCTCTCAGTGGCAGGCAGCTATGGATGCAGAGATGGCTTCCTGGAAGTCCACAGGCACCTACGTTGACGCTGTTCCTCCTCCTGGGGCGAACATCGTCAGTGGCATGTGGATTTTCAGGGTGAAGCGGCCGCCGGGTTCTCCGCCTGTCTTCAAGGCGCGTTACGTGGCTCGTGGCTTCAGTCAGCGGCAGGGGGTTGACTACTTTCAGACCTTCTCCCCCACCCCGAAGATGACCACTCTTCGGGTCCTGCTGCACGTTGCTGCTCACCGTGACTACGAGCTGCACTCTCTCGACTTCAGCACAGCTTTCTTGCAGGGCAGCCTGCACGAGGAGATCTGGCTGCGTCGCCCACCTGGCTTCACTGGGTCTTTCCCTCCTGGTACCCAGTGGAGTCTCCGGCGTCCAGTCTACGGTCTCCGCCAGGCGCCACGTGAGTGGCACGACACACTGAGGACTACGCTCGCGGCACTTGGGTTTGCTCCTTCTACTGCCGACCCGTCGCTGCTTCTGCGCACCGACACCTCTCTGCCGCCGTTCTACATCCTCGTGTACGTCGACGACTTGGTCTTTGCCACAGCTGACACTGCTGGACTCGCCTACGTGAAGTCCGAGCTGCAGAAGAGACACACGTGCACTGACCTGGGTGAACTGCGCAGCTACCTTGGCTTGCAGATCACCCGGGACAGAGCACACCGCACCATTACCCTGACTCAGTCACACATGGTGCAGCAGGTCCTTCAGCGCTTCGGCTTCACGTACTCCTCGCCTCAGGCCACTCCTCTGCCTACTCGCCACTCGCTCTCAGCTCTGCCTTCGGATGAGTCCGTAGAGTCGAGTGGCCCGTTTGCAGAGCTTGTTGGCTGCCTCATGTACCTGATGACCTGCACACGACCTGACCTCGCATACCCTCTTAGCATTCTCGCACGCTTTGTTGCTCCTGGGAGACACCGACCAGAGCACATGGCTGCAGCGAAGAGGGTGTTGCGCTACTTGTGCAGTAAGTCGGGCATGGGGCTAGTGCTTGGGGGGCGCAGTCCAGTGGTCCTCACTGGGCACGTAGACGCTTCTTGGGCTGACGACCAGGCTACGCAGCGGTCGTCACAGGGTTACACCTTCAGCCTTGGTTCCGGCTCTGTCTCGTGGCGAGCTACCCGCTCGTCTTCTGTTCTCGGCTCCAGTTGTGAGGCTGAGATCTACGCTGGGGCTATGGCTGCACAGGAGTTACGCTGGCTCACCTACCTGCTGACCGACCTTGGAGAGCAGCCTCGTTCTCCTCCAGTCCTGTACGTAGTCAACAAGGCCATGCTGGCCTTGTGTCGAGAGCAGCGACTGGAGCACAGAACGAAGCACATTGCTCTCCGCTACTTTCTTGCTCGTGAGCTACGGCAGCGTGGACAGTTGCGACTTGCGTACGTGGCCTCTGAGGCCAACACTGCTGATGTCTTCACCAAGGCACTTGCGCCTTGTGATCATCAGCGTTGTTGCACGCAGTTGGGTCTTGTGCCTGTCTTGCCTCACTTGCTTTCCTCTTGACCTTGCTTGTACCTTCGCCTATATATACTCTTGCTCTTGCTTGCTTGACTCTTGTATATCTCTATATATGATCTTGCATGTGAACTGGCCTTCTGGCCTTTGAACTTGTGCTCGGAATGCGTGGTGACTTTGTGATCCACCCTGAGCTTTGCTTTGCTTTGCTTGACTGGTCTTGTGACCCCTTGTTCTCCCCCACTTTGCCTATGGGGGTGTGTCAGAACATATAGCTTACTTGTTTCTGTAGGCTATAGTGGGGTATCCCATAGGGGGTACAACACAATTAGGGTTTCCTATTTGTATTCACTTCACTTCATAGTCATTCATTCTCGTTCTTTGATTTCACACATCGATCATCAGCGACAGGGACACGAAATTTACAAGCAACTTTTGGCGGAACCTGTGGCAGCAGTTCGGCACACGCTTACAGTTCAGTTCATCCTATCACCCCGAAACCGACGGACAGACGGAACGGACAAATCAGACCATGGAGCAACTGATTCGAGCCACGTGCGACGATCCGAATACGTGGGAACAGCAGCTGCCACTCATCGAGTTCGCATACAATAACGCACCATCAGCGACGACGCAACAGTCGCCGTTTTACTTGAATTACGGACAGGACCCAACAGTACCCATGACACCGAATCCCGACAACCCCGTCCCACGAGCACAACAGTTCGCCGAGATTCTGCAAGCAGCACGGACCAGGGCAGCAGAAGCAATCAAAAAATCAAACATCATCGCTAAACGCAACGCCGATCGCCATCGCAGACCCGTTACTTATCAGCCCGACGACCTCGTTTTACTCGACACTCATAACCTCCGCCTGCCCATCACTCCAAAACTCCGCCCTCGATACTGTGGGCCATTTCGAATCAGTCACATGGTCACGCCAGTCACCGCGCACCTCCTCCTCCCTGCTGACTGGTACGTCAGCCCCTCGTTCCACGTCAGCTTACTTCGCCCTTACGTGCCATCCATCAGCCAACTCCACGACATCGACCCACCAGCATGACACGACCACCAACCGAACCAGTCATCACCCCTGACAAGATCCTGAGCCACAGAGTTCGCGACCCTCGAGGAGCCCGAAAAGTGGAGTTCCTGATCCGCTGGAAAGATCGTACCCCCACCGAGGACAATTGGGTTCCCCTGGAGAAAGTTGAAAATCACCCCGTCGTCACCGACTACCTACGTAGCCGCAATTTCCGAGACATCCACGCGCTTTCATAAGGAGGATCTCCTTAGGAGGGGGGGTAGTGTAAGGAAATTCCCTTTTCCTTACTTCGCGTCCCTGCTCAACGCGTACATCACTGTAGCACCTCAGTCAGCACCGTTACCACTCGCGACCATCGCATCATTCATCATCCCGCCCTTTTCGCACATCGCATCCCGACCTCACGGCTCGGCTGGTAACCCGCGCTCCGGGCCTACACTTCGACACTTTCCCAACCTCAGTCCCAGGCTCGTCGCGCGACCATTACCGTTACCACTATAGTTTCGCTATATAATGTTCGCTCATGCCTTCGCTCATTTGGATTCTTGCTTCGATAGTGCAATTCTCGTTCGTTCACTCAATTGCACTCGTAACACTTGCACTCGTAACACCTTCTCTCATTGTACTTTTGCTTCGATAGTGCAATTCTCGCTCGCTCACTCAATTGCACTCGTAACACCACCACACACTGTACATGGGTGGGAGCCGATGGTTTCTATGAAAGGCGTTCAGTTGCTGCACCGAGCGAGAGGATCCTTCCAGAAGTCGTCCGTGTCGCTACTTTTCCAAGCTTCTCACGGCTGTGCTTTCCCCATCTTGCCTGCACCCGCGTCCGTGCGACCGTCCTCGCTGCCTCGCAAGCACTCCACCCTCTCGTCCACAAATTCCGCTCTTAACGCCAAAGCGGATCATCTCTCGATCCGCGCAAGTCCTCTCATGCTTCGCCACGCGCGCTCTCGCGGCCTCGCCAGGCTCCCGCCGCCCACGCGCGGCGGCGCGGCGATATGCGGCAGTCACAGCGCTGGTGGGTTGTCGCAGCGCACATTCACACGCCGATCGCCGTTCATTGCGCTACGAGAGCCCGCCTCGCACGGCGCTCGGCCGCATGGCCGCAGCAGCAAGGCGGCAGTGCATTGACTCTATTGTCCTCCCCGCTCCTGTCATCGCTGCCACACACTTCGCCCTGCGTCCCTCGCTTGTCGGTCACCCTTCGCCTTCCGCAATTCCTTTCCTCTTCTCTTCCCACTGCCCTCGACGGCTCGTCACTCCCCTTTTCCGCGTGTGCAGGCGACGGATGCGCGACGGGCGCACCATCAGGCGGGCAGGAGATTCAACGGGACGCGCGCACGCATGTCTCGTCCACGCAAGTCGCGAGCAGCCACGTCGCAGCAGCGGAGGTGCTGTGGAGAGCAGAGCGGTCAGGGGCGGTGTGTGGCGGTGAACGGGCGGCAGCATGCAGCCACGCGGCAGCTGAGGGCGCAGAGAGGGCGGGCGGCATGCGTGGCGCCGCGCCCCAACCCCTCCACACGCCATCCCTTCTCCGCCTCACTCCACTGAGCCCCGCCCATTCCCGTAGCGTCCACTGCAACCTCCACCGCGTGTTTCACGCCGCCCCTCACTGCCTCTCAGCTCGCGCCGCTCCATTCGCCGCTTCCAATCCACTTGAATCAGCCACTGCCACGTGGCAGCGCAGCTCGCTCTTTCACCGTGCCTTCCACGCGTCAGGTGCGCTGCCAGCTGGCGCCAGCTGTGAGAGCATGTGCGTCCTGTGCGGTGGGGTGGGCTGTGGTTGGAGGCGGTGGGGTGGTGTTTTGTGGCGGCGTGTGATGGGGTGTGTGGTATGTATATGTGCACATGCGTATGTGAGTGCACGTGTGTGGATGTGAGCTGGTTGGTATGTGTGTGTGACTATGAGTGCGTTTGAGTGAGTGTGAGTATGGCTGAATAATTGTGAGTGTGGGTGTGATTGTGAATGTAAGTGGGCCATAGCAGCAGTTTCATTCGTATTCTTCCCACCTTGTCCTTTCCATCCGCCCCTCGCTTGCCTCTCACTCCCAGGCGCCGCAGCGGCAGCGGCAGCAGCAGCGGGGGGAAGGGGGCGGGATTACTATGCGGTGTTGGGGGTGTCAAGGAAGGCAACGGCCGCCGAAATCAAAAAGGCCTTCTATGCGGTTCGTGCCGTCATGCCACCATACAAATACCACTATGTGCTCGCTAGCGTCATTGCTTGCTGCGACTCGTTGCATCCCTTTCACGGTATACTGGGCGCGTCTTTGACATGATGCCCTCGTCTTTGCCCCCCGCTCCTCCTGCTCCCCCCTGCCCCTCCCTGCATGGCCTGCTCCCCCCCGCTCCTCCTTCGCTGTGGTGCGCCGTGGTGTGTGGTGGTGTGTGGTGGGGCGTGGTGTGGTGGGGTGGCAGCTGGCGAAGAAGTACCACCCGGACGCGAACAAGGACGACCCCAATGCAGCCAAGAAGTTCCAAGAAGTGCAGCAGGCGTACGAGGTAGGGAGGGGGGGGTGGTGGCAGCAGGCAGTGGGAGGAAGGTGGCAGGGCAGGGCTGGTGTGGGCTCATCTCATCGCATGTGCGCTTCCTTCTCCGCCCTACGTGCTGCTCTCGTCTGTCTCTGCCATTGTACTGTGTGAATTTGAAGTGCCACTTGCTTCCTTGTTCGCGTGCCGCCCTGCATGCTGAACTTTCATCTATGCGTGCCATGTGTGTGACATGTGTGTGATATGTGTGTGAGCAAGTGTGTGCATGTGTGTGCGTGTGTGCGTGTGTGTGCGTGTTTGTGCATGTGCCTGTGCGAGTGTTTGTGTGTGTCTCCACACAGGTGCTAAAGGATGATGAAAAGAGGGCCATGTACGATCAGGTATGCCATGTACGATCAGGTATGCCATGTACGATCAGGTATGCCATGTACGATTAGGTATGCCATGTACGATCAGGTATGCCATGTACGATCAGGTATGCCATGTACAATTAGGTATGCCATGTACGATCAGGTATGCCATGTACGATCAGGTATGCCATGTACGATCAGGTATGCCATGTACGATCAGGTATGCCATGTACGATCAGGTATGCCATGTACGATTAGGTATGCCATGTACGATCAGGTATGCCATGTACGATCAGGTATGCCATGTACAATTAGGTATGCCATGTACGATCAGGTATGCCATGTACGATCAGGTATGCCATGTACAATTAGGTATGCCATGTACGATCAGGTATGCCATGTACGATCAGGTATCCGCATGACGCATCCATGCACATGATCCGTCGCATTTATTCTCCTTTCTACCCCACTCACTTCCTTGTGCTGTTTTCATATTTCTTTTGCGTGCACGCCCTTACAGCTTGCCTCGCTCTCCGTGCCCCTCGGCCCTCCCCTTCCGCTTTCTCCTTGTTCCCCCTCGTCCACCCTGTCTCCTGTCTCCCTGCTATCCGCACCTCCTCCCCCACCTGCCGCCCCAGGTTGGACCGGAGGCGTTTGAGGGGGGGGCAGCAGGGGGCCCAGGCGCAGGGGCGGGTGCTCAGGGCTTCGGCGGATTCTCTGGCTTCGGAGGGCCGTCGGACTTCGAAGAGGTCTGTGCACTCACTGCACCGCACTGCACCGCACAGGCACTGCATTGCACTGCATGTCACATGCGGGTGGAGCTGCCAGTGGCACTCCATCTGTCACCAGCACCTGCTTCTCCCACCCCATGCCTGCACCGCACTTGCTGCCCCCCATGCCCCCCTCCTCCCCTACTTCCGTTCACCTGCCCCGCTCCCCTCCCACCCTTGCCCCGGCTCCCCCAGATGCTGGGCGGCATCTTTGGGCGCATGGGCGGCATGGGCGGCATGGGTATGGGCATGGGCATGGGGGCGGCGGGGCCGAAGGGGGGCGAGAGTGTGCAGATGGCGGTGAGGCTGACGCTGAGGGAGGCTGCGGACGGCTGCTCGCGCCACCTCTCCTTCTCTGCTCCCGCGCGCTGCTCCTCCTGCAGTGAGTGCTCTCTGCTGCTCCTCCTGCAGTGAGTCCTCTCTGCTGCTCCTCCTGCAGTGAGTGCTCTCTGCTGCTCCTCCTGCAGTGAGTGCTCTCTGCTGCTCCTCCTGCAGTGAGTGCTCTCTGCTGCTCCTCCTGCAGTGAGTGCTCTCTGCTGCTCCTCCTGCAGTGAGTGCTCTCTGCTGCTCCTCCTGCAGTGAGTGCCCCATGCTGCTCTGCCTGTGCTGATGCGAAACAGCACTCTCTGTTATCAGTCTGCCCAATTTCTCTGTTGAGGTGAGCATGAAAACAGTCTAGATGTCCACGTGAATCCACCTGTGACTCGTTTCAAATGCGGCACGTCCCCTCCCTGCCTCTGTGTGTTTCTCGCCCACCTCGCTCTCCCCCTTATTGCAGGCGGATCAGGCATGCCCAAGGGGTACCAGCCCACCCCATGCAAGGCGTGCAAGGGGCAAGGCATGGTCAGTACCGCACCCCCTCCCCTGGCTCCCCCTCCCCTGGCACCCCCTCCCCTGGCTCCCCCTCCCCTGGCTCCCTCTCCCCTTCTCCCCGCCTCTCCTCTCTGTCCTCGCATAAATGTGCCCTTCCGTCGCCCAACCACACAACTCCTGTGTTCCCTCTAACCACACGTGGTGGGAGCAGGAGATGCGGCGGATGGGGGCGTCAGTGGTGATGCAGACGTGCTCCTCCTGTGGCGGCCAGGGCGTCTTTGTCAAGGTGCGCGCACTGCTTCCTGTGTGCCGCTTCTGCGTATCACTCCGTTTGCTCACCTTCCCATTATCCTTAATTCTTCTCAACCCCTTGTCGCTTGGCTCTTGTCCTTTCCCTAAATCTGCCCTCCCATGTGTACCCTCTCGTTCCACATAATATCACGGCATCATGACACCATGGCACTCTGACACTATGGCATCCTGGCATCATGTATGCATGCATGCACACATCAGGAGTGGTGCAAGACATGTCATGGGGAGGGCACAGTGAAGGAGAGGCGGGAAGTGGATGTCTCCATACCAGCAGGTGGGTTGGTGGGATGGGAATAGATGGTTGGTGGGAATAGATGGTTGGTGGGAATAGATGGTTGGTGGGAATAGATGGTTGGTGGGAGTAGATGGTTGGTGGGAATAGATGGTTGGTGGGGGAGTAGATGGTTGGTGGAGAACATGGGATGGGGTGGCAGCAGCAGGGAGGATGAGCCATTCCCTGGGAGCACTGCAACCGGCTCAACCTGCCCATCCTCTTTCATCCTCCCACTCCCTGCCGCCCACCCTTGCACCGTTCACATCCTCTTGCGGCTCCATTCCATTCCTCCGTCTCTACGAACCCTTCTTTTCCCATCAACTCCTTCCACTCCTCGTCCCACCTCCCCCCTCTTCCCTTTCCCTCCCTCCTCTCCCCTGTCTCAACACGGGTGTGGGGTGGCGAGCAGGGGTGGACTCGGGAGTGACTCTGAGGGTGCCGGGGCAGGGAGGCGCAGGGGGGAAAGGGGCTCCACCTGGGGACCTGCTGCTGAACATTCAGGTGACCTGCTGCTGAACATTCAGCTTCATCCTGTGCAGGTGCTGCCAGCTGGTTTGTCATCTCCCTCAGCCACTCACTCCCCCCTGCACCATGCCCCGTCCCCCTGCCCCGTGCCGCATGCCCCTTGCCCCATGTCCCTGCCCCGTGCTCCGTGCTCCATCCCCCGTGCGCCATGCGCCATGGCACAGGTGGAGGAGGACGCGGTGTTCAAGAGGGACGGCAACGACATCCACGTCGACCTCCACGTCTCCTTCCCCCAGGTGCCGCCTCCCCCACTCCTCCTCATGCTCCCTGTCCTATCATGTGCGATGTGAACCATCTCTCGTTCCCATATGTATCCTCCCAGCCCTACGTATCCTGCCCTTGTTTTCCCTGCCTGAACATCGTACCCCCTCTCCTCTCCTGCTTGCGCCTCCAAGCCACAACTCACGGCCCCCTTACGCCCCTGCCATTGCCCATGCCACCGCCCCTGCTATTGCCCCTGCCATGGCCCGTGTGCGTGCCAGGCGTGTCTGGGAGCATCAGTGCCGGTGCCAACACTCTCCGGGGAGGTCATCCTTAAGGTGCTGCTGCTCATGCCATGCCATGCCATGCCATACCATGCCATGCCATACCATGCCATACCATGCCATACCATGCCATGCCATACCATGCCATGCCATACCATACCATGCCATGCCATGCCATGTTGATGCAGTTACACGCCACTTGGGTCGATGCATTGACTTCACGCTGTTGCCATTGCCTGGAAGCGTTTGCGTCCCACACTCGCAGTTTGTTAGCCACTTGGCGTGCACATGCCTTGCTCATGCTGCAATGCACATGCCTTCCCCTTACCACCATGCACGTGCCTTGCTGCCAATGCGGTGTGCATGCAGATCAAGCCGGGCACTCAGCCAGGCCAGGTGCTCCAGCTGCGCGATAAAGGTGCGCCACCTTGCAATGCACCCAGAATTGCCCTTGCTCACCCCATGTCTGCCCATCTGCTCCACCGCTAGTCTGCTGCCTTCAACATACGGTTTCCTGTTTGCTGTGCACCCATGGCATTTTCCTGTTTGCGGTGCACCCATGGCATTTTCACTCCCACATTCGTACCCTTTCACTTACCTCCATCTCACTTCCCCGTCTCTTCCTCCCATCTCTTCCCCACTCTCCCTCTCCCCCTTCCATCCCTCCCACTGCCCACGCCCAGGAGTGCGATCCGCCACGAGTCGCCGAGTGGGGAGTCAGTTTGTGCACGTCAATGTCGCCGTGCCCACGTGCGTCTGCTGCCCACTCGCCCCTCCGCTCCTCCCTCATTGCCCCTTCCCCCCTACTTCACTGCTCCTCTTCTCACCTCCATCGTTGCCCCTCCTCGCACTTCTCTGGTTGCCCCTCCTCTCACCTCCCTTATTGCATGCACATCCTCTGACTCTCTGCTTTGCTCTTGGCTCTGCTTTTCTGATTCAGCCTTGCACCCACGCCCACCACGGATCCTCTCGCACTGCCTGTGCCCTGGCCTGGCCACCCATCCCACCATGACCGTGCAGGGAGCTCACGGAGCGGCAGAGGAAGCTGCTGGAGCAGTGGGAGAAGGAGGGGGATGGGGGGGCGCAGGGAGAGCAGCATGGCAAGGAGGATGCGGATGGCGGGGCAGCGGAGGAGACGAGTGGAGGGGACAAGAAAGAGGACGGGGAGGGAGGTAAGGAGAAGAAGAAGCGAGCCTGGGGTCTATGGTAGAGCAAGAGCAAGTTGGCTGCAGTGGCGTGTCATGCGGTGCTTGGAGGAATGCACGGGTTCAAGGGCTCTGGGGCAAGCAGCAGCACAATGACTGCTTTTTGTGCCAGCCTCTCGCTCCGCCTGTGCCCTGCCATGTCACGAGGCTGTGGAGGCCGGCACTGTTTCCAGTCCCAATTAGCCATGGCAGCATGTTGGCATGGCGCTGAGCTGAGCACAGGCAGAAGTTTCGAGTCATAGCTTGAGTCATCTCTTGATTACTGTAGAAGGTTAATGTGACCCATACCCCCCCAAGAGATGTTGAGAGCTCTGAGCTAGGAAGTTAGGGGGGGTACATACCGTATTGTCATTGCAAGATAGTATGGTGAGTTGCGAGAGTTGCCTACGCTACTGTTGTAATTATGCATACTTTCATCCAACATGGCAATTTATGTACTGTGTAAGCCGTGCACTGAATCTTGCATGCAGCCAGAAGAAACATGAGCAGCAGCTACATTCGATACAGTGGTTCGTACTTCTCTGGTGAGATTATGGTACACTTGATGTCAAATCAACTGGGGTGGCAGCATGGAAGAAGTGACATCGCTGCGCAACCTGCTCCTAGATATGCAACCAGCTTGGACAACACCAATGGGAGCTACTCATGAATGAGTGGCCAAAAACAGCATGCAGCACACAGCCATGCCACTGAGCACCGCACTGCACCTCACACCATCCAGTACTGCTGGCGGCCGAAGGAGGGGGAGCGCATGAGCATGGGGCTGAGGGCGCTGATGTCCATGTCAGGCCGCGCATCCAGGATGCGATCGATGTCTGCCTCCTCCTCCTCCCCCTCCACCCCCACCCCTATGTCCCCCTCCCACGCGCTCCCCAGCCCCCTCCCCACACGCCTCTCCAGCCCTCCGCTGTGGCTGCCGCCAGCAGCAGCGCCGGGGTTGGGAGTGAGCGCGCGGCGCAGCACACGAGCGTGGAGGGGGGAGTCCGCGCCCAGGGCAGCGCCGCCAGCAGAGGAGGCGGTAAGGCTGTTGGCCTGCTGCTGCTGCAGGCGACTCAGAGTGCGCGAGACTGACTGTTGCCCTGCCAGCCCCCTGCCTCCCCCTTCGCCCTGCAGCTGAAGCTGGGGGCTGCCCCCTCTGCCCGCCACGCCTGTGCTCTCCTGCAGCTGCCCTGCGGCCCGCTGCTGCCGCTGCTTCATGCGCGCCGCCAGTCGCTCCAGCGGCTGGCTCTTGCTCTTCCACCCCGCCCGCGGGGCCCTCGCCCGCACCCTCGCCACCGGGCCCCCTTCTGCTGCCACGCTGCTGGGAACGGCGGTGGCAAGCACAGTGGCGGGCATGGCGCCATCCACTCCGCCTGCTGCAGGTGCTGCACTGGCTAGCAGGGCGGAGCGCGGTGGCATGGCAGCAGAGGGCGATGGTGGCATGAGAGACCCAGGGGTGAGAGGCTCGGTGGGCAGATGAGATACAGGAGGGACAGATGGACACGAGTCCGATTCCACCAATGGCGGCAACCCTGCTGGCTCTGCTGCTGGTGGAGCTACTTCCCCTGTGCCGCTGTGAACTGTACTGCCCACTTGCGCCTCTCCCTCCCCTTGATCCTCCTTACCCCTGGACTCCCCATCCTCGCCTTCCTCCTCCTCCTCAGGCACACTCTGTGGCACCCTCCATTCCCGCCGCCCACTACTCACACTCCCCACACTCACATTCTCCACACCCTCGGCCCCCACTATCGCTGCATTTTCCACAGCACCGACCCCATCACCCTCCCCTGTCCCCACCCCGCCCACCCCCCCCACGGCACCACGAGCAGCGGACGACAAGTGGGCCAGGATGTCGCTCCACTCCTCCACGCCCTCGCCCTCCCGGCTGCCCTCCGCACTGCCCGTGCGCCGCACACCACCGCTCCACGCCACGCCACCGGGGCTGCTGGCCTGGGACGCGCGCCCCACGCTGCTGCGCTCGCTCAGCGGCCCCGACCACGGCAGGGGAGCGGGGGACGGGGGGTCGCTGCCTGACCCCGGCGACCACTGCGGGTGGCAGGACAGAGCAGCAGCGTGCAGGTCGATGGGAGGCACGTCCTGCATGCCTCCGGGGCTGCCCACGCGCTCCTCGCTGCTCGGCGCCCTGCCCTCGCCGGTCTCCTCCCGTGTACCCTCTGCTGCACCCGCCTCTACTGCCATCAACCCGCTCCCTGCTTCTGCTGTGCCGGCATCTCCCCGGGCTGCCTCTTGCCCCCACGGGCCCACCGCTGCATGTGCTGCAACCGACCCCACGGCTCGCTCCTCGCTGGCAGGCCCTGCTGCAGGCATGCTTGGCGAGTGACCCTCCATACCTGCCACGTCACTGGCCAAGTCAGCTGCCACGTGGGCGGCAGGCGGCGGGAAGGGGGCTGTGATGGCGGTGCATGGGATGGGGTGCCACACCCGCGTGTGACTCGCCCACCCCCTCTCCCTGCCACCACCACCACCACCTGGAGTAGCGGGTAAAGCAGACGCTCCACTGCCTGCTGCCTCCCTGCTCTCCCCCTTGCCACTGCTCCCCCCTTCACCCTCCTGTCCCTCCCCTTCTCTCGTCTCTCTCCCCTCTTCCCCTGCATCCCTACCCCTCCTCTCAGCTGCGCCACCACCCGCCCTGCCTGCGCCCCTGCCAGCGCCCCATGGGCCTCCCCCGGCGCCTGTCATCGCATACTTGCCACTGGGCCCGCCCCCACCGCTGCCGCTCCCCCCCTCGCCCACCCCATGCGGTGAGGCGGTGGAGGGGGCAGGTGTGTGTGCGTGTGCGGGGGCGGGGGGAGGGGGGAGCTGCTGGCGGCTGGCGAGGTGCTGCAGGCCGATGAGCAGCAGCAGCACGAGGCGCTCCATGCGCGCCTCCTCCACGTGCTGCAGCGTCTGCAGGCGACTCAACGCACTGCCTCCCCGCACCCGCACGTCACTGGCGTACCTGCTTGGAGGGGGAGGGATGGGGAGAGGGGCAGCGAGGAGCAGGTTGGGAAGAGGAGAATGGGGATTAAAGGAAAGATAAATCTATAACGTTGATAGAACACCGGATGGAGTTGCAAAAAGCTGGTGGTGTTAGAATCACATCGTGCTGTTTATTCACCTAATGTTGTTGGAATCACCTGATGATGTTGAATTCACCTGATGGTGTTGTCTGCCATGGTGACCAGCCAGTCCAACACGCCCTCCAGCTTCTCCTCTATGCTCTCCGTGCTCTCCTGCCATCCGTGCCATGCCACCCATGCCGTGCACCCCACACCCGCATACCATCCATGCCACCCACATACCATCCATGTCATGCCAGCCCACCACATCATGCCACAACAACACAGCTCAGATGCAATCATGTGTCATGGCATGAATACAAAGAGACGACTCAACACCCACAGGATGCCCACTTGGAGGCTGGAGCACAGCATGACTTGCATTCAGGTTCCAGGTGGAGGGCTGGCATGGCAGGCATAGCATGGCATAGCATGGGTCACAGCATGGCATGACATGCCACGGCACAGGCTATGCCCACCATGCAGATGTGCTGTGACTGCAGCAGCGCCCCCTTGAGCTTGCAGCGCAGCGAGTGTGGCAGCAGCGAGTACAGGTAGTCCCTCCGGCTCTCCGCCCCCTGCATTCCCACCTGCTCCCGCCAAAAAGGGGAAGGAGTGGGGGAAGAGAACGGGGAGGGTTCAAGGGGAGAGGTGCAGACGTGCAGAGGAAAGGAGTGGGTACCCATGGGAGAGGGATCGGAGAAGACACGTGGGAGGCAGTGCGAGTGCAGTGGTGAAGCAGACAAACGACCCGCCACAGTCACTCCTCTTATCTCCAGTCGTGCTCACATCCCTAGCGCTGCTGCCGTCTCAGCAGCAGGTGGATGGCATGGCGTATCATCTCATGGCATGTCATATCATCTCATGGCATGTCATATCATCTCATGGCATCCAGCAGGCGGCGGGCGCCTCACCAGCAGGTCGATGGCGATGATGAGCCGCGCATACGCCAGCGCCATGCCCGACTCCCCCAGCTTCCTCCCCCCCTCCGCCTGCCCCTCCCTCCCCCCTTCCGCCTGTGCGCCCTTCCCTCGCACGGGCAGCAGAGGGACGTCCGGTGCTGCCATGGGCGTTGGGGGCATGCGGGGATGAGAGAGCGTACGGGTGTGAAGGAGAGTGTGGAGGAAGAATCGCGGGGGGGAGTGGGGGGATGGGATGGAAGGGTGTGAGAATGGATATGGAAGGGCATAGTGATGGTGGCAGTGAGGTAGGGCGGAGAGCGATGCAGCATCAGATGCACTCACGCAGCGATGCAGCATGAGATGCACTCACGCAGCGATGCAGCATGAGATGCACTCACGCAGCGATGCAGCATGAGATGCACTCACGCAGCAATGCAGCATGAGATGCACTCACGCAGCAATGCAGCATGAGATGCACTCACGCAGCGGGCCGAAGGTGGAGGAGACCAGGCGGATGAGATGATCCACGACACGCGCCAGCTGGCGCACCAACTAAAGGGGGGCGGGGATGCGGGTTGGGTGGAGGAGAAGAGACGGTTCTGGTGGTGCAGTGATGCGGATAGGAGCATCGTCCCTTTCGTATTGCTCATGCAACGATCCCCAAATCATAACACATCACATCACATCACACCACAGGACGGTACCACCCCATGTCATGCCATGGCATGCCATACACGGCAGAGCATCACCTCATGGAGGGGGCGGTCCCAGAAGGAGCTCTCCTGCATGGCGCGCACCCGCTCCTTCTGTGCCCTCAGCTCCGCCGCCCTCTCCCCTGCACACACCACCACACCACACCGCACCACATGTGATGTGATGTGAGTGCCACACAGGATGTGAGAGCGGCAACACAACACATGCATGCCTCTTTGCTGGCATGCCTCCCCGCATGCAGATCTCTTCAAAATGCACTAAATGCTGCGCCATCACCATCACCATCACCATCACCATCACCAACAACCCCACCACCACCATCACCCCCAGCATCACCAGCATGGGCACCAGAGTCGCATGCGGCATCCATGTCGCGGCGCATGGCCTCTAGCAGCAGCACCTCGCGCCTCAGCTCCTGCAAACATGCATGGCGACAAGGCAGGTGATGGGGAGCGCACGGGCATGGGAGGTCAGCGAGCATGTATGAGGTAGGCCGTGGGAATGGGTGGTGGCATGTTGGCAAATGGCAGTCAAACCATCCCACCATACCAACATCCACAACAACACATCACACCATGCCCACGTCACCACCTCGCTGACGCACTGACGTCAGCAGCTCACCCCAGTGACGTCAGCGGCTCACCATGGTGATCTGAGCGTCCTCCTCCAGCTGCAGCAGCAGCTCGTCCACCGCCTCCCCCTCCTCCCCCTCCTCCCCCTCCTCCGCCCCCCCCTGCTCTTCCCCCCCACCCCCCTGCCGCTCCCTCACTGCTGCAGCCAGGCTGGGATGCGAGAGGGGGACAAGGCGTGGGGCGAGGGATGGGCACGGGGGGTGGAAGGCGGTGTAAGAAGCATCTATGGCTTGCAGGCATTGGGTCCCGCGTTGGGAAGCAAGGCGGGTAGGCACAGCACAGGGGGGGGCACGGGGGTGACTGTGGAATGGGGGTAACAGCCGTGATCATGCGCTCGCTGCTGTACTGTGGCCGCCCTGCCACCCCCCCCCACCACTGCCCTCTGCGCATTCCCTGCCACCCGCCCCCCAGTGCACCTGCTACAGTGTTGCGTGCCACCCGGGTGGCAGGCGGACCTGGAGAAGCGGAGGGCGAGGGAGTGCAGAGCGGTGTCAGTGCACTGCGAGCCGAGGCGCGCTACACTCGCTGCCAGCCGCCCCACCTCCTCCCTGCATGCAGTAGCCATGCGGGTGAAGGGGGGTGGGTGGGTAGGGGGTGGTGGAGGGGGAGGGAAAGGGTAGGGGTGCACATAAAGGAACAATTCAATAGAGCTGCAAGTGAAGGCACGAGAGATTGTTGCACGCAGCGAGGAAGGAGGCAACGAGCAGACAGCGCAAGCAGGGATGTGCCGGACTGACCACTTATCGCGGGCGGCGATCTGCCAGACGTGGTTGAAGTCAGAGGAGAGGAGGAAGGCGATGCCATCGGACGCCAACACCTCCCTGCGCAGCTCGTCCACGTCCTCCCCCTCCACTGACTGCCGTACCACCCCCGCCCTCACCACCGCTGCCGCCACCTCAAACGCCAGCACGCCCACCCTGCTGTGTGTGCCGCACACATGCCATGCCACACACACACGGGCTTCAGCAAGAGTGAGCATGACGCGGGGGGCATTGAGGAGACGACACGGGCAGGAAGCGGAGCGGCAAAGTGGAATGGCACGTGGTGGCCAGGGAGTACGGCACCTGGTGGGGGATTGCATGCTGGCCGCGGATTGGGCGAGCTGGGTGGGCCGTGGGGGCAGTGCGCTCCTGCAATGGTGGGCGGTGGAGGACGCGCGGTGGGGGATGGGTGGTGGGGGCTGTGAATCAAGGGGAGGGGCGTGTTGTGGCGATGGTGTGGCATGTGAAATGTGGCACGCAGGGGAGGCAGGGAGAGGAAGGGGAGGTGGCATGTGAAGGCGCACCGTGTGGGTGGCGAGGCGCCCTCTACTGCTGTCGCTGCCTCGCCAGGCTGGGTGCCTGCTGCTGCTGCTTGCTCTGCTTGCTCTGCTTGCTGCAATCACGGATAAGAGCGCACACACACACACACACGCACACACACACACACGCACACACACACACACACACACACACACACACACACACACACACACACACACACACACACACACGCAGATAAGCATGTCAAGGGACTTGTGCACATGCACGCCCACGTGCGCCCTCCGCCCCCCTCCCCTCCTTCACATCCACCATTCCGCCTCCCACCCCTTGCACCCCACCATCATCCAGTGCGCCCCCACTCATCCCGCGCATCCCTAAATCCCCCGTGCTCCGCCCATCTACCGCGCGCATCCCTCCCTCCCACCCCGCCGCGCCCCCCTCGTTGCCAGGCCAGAGCGCGCCCTGCCTGCACCCTCCCCCTGCCCGCAGCCCCCTCAGTGCTGCGCACCTTGAGCGTGCCGCCCCCTGCTCCGCCGTTCATCCCCGTGCCATCGCAACGCTCCGCGCCATTCTGCCCGTCCTCTGCGCGCACCTTGCCTCCCACTCTCCCGTCGTGCGCTTCTCTCCTCTCGTCCCTCTCCTCGACTCGGTCCCCACCGCGCATCACTTCCGCGTTCCGCTCGTTCTTAATCGCACGCCCGTCCCTCAGTGCCTCCCCTTTCTGCGCCTCGTTTTCCCTGGTCCTCCGCCTCTTCTCCCCACCCGCCTGCGTCCGCACCTTCCCCTCCTTAGCGCGCCGATTCCCCCCGCATCCGCACAGTGTCCACTCCTCCGCCTGGCCCTCGCCGCCATTCCCAACCTCCCCCGCTGCCGCGTTGGCGGTGGGCGCGGAACTAGCGCAGCCCATAGCGGCGAGCGGGAGGCGCGGCGCGAAGGCGGGAACAGGACGGGCGAAAAGGAAGGCGTGGGCGCGGACAGAGCGCGAGGCGATGGCGGCGTGGCGACGCGTGGGATAAGAGGAACGGGGGGCGATAGCACGGGCGCACAACTACCGGCACGCATCGTTGCGTGAGTGGGCCTCGTTCATCGCACACGGTGCTCGCATGGCATCTGTAAGTGTGCTCCAATGTCTAATTTCAGTACTTCGTAGCCGAGTGTGCGACTCCATGCAACGCTAACAACTTTCACGAAAAAAGGCGGTAATGTGTTTGAGTGTGCGAGCAGGGCAACACCAACCTGCTTTTGCTCCCCCGTGCTTCTGGTATGGGGGGGAGTTGCAGAGTCCCCCTGCAGCGCGCGGTGGTGAAGTCGGAAACGGCGCAAGCGACAGTGGTGGTGATCAGGCATGTCGATTCAAGAGCATATGCCCTTAATGCCCTGAACATTCCGGGCTACTTTCGCCCCAGCTCGACTGCCAAAAGTGTGGGATTCGCACTGCACCCGTGCAACTAAGTGCCTCGCTCGACCCTACCCCGGATGCGTTAAGGGCCCAAACCAGACCTTTCCCTGTCTCGAAGTTATGGTTTCTGGTTGTAGGACCCACCCCCCCCCCTAAATTCTTTCTGACCTCACCCCCCCTTTCTCCTTAGGTTGCACGAGAGGAGTGGATTTTTCCCTTCGCAATTTCTAGCCAATCCTGTGTTTGTTAAGTGTCTAAGCCAGCTTGGAGCACCCGAATATCCCCTTAGCGTCTAAGTGTCGCCCCCCCCCTTCTCCTTAGGTTGCACGAGAGGAGTGGATTTTTGCCTTCACGTTTTCTAGCCATCCTGTGTTTGTAAAGTGTCTAAGTCAGCTTGGATACCCGAATTTTCCCTTAGCGTCTATGTGCCCCACCCCCCCCCTTTCTCCTTAGGTTGCACGAGAGGAGTAGATTTTTCCCTTAGCGTGCTCTAGCCATCCCGTGTTTGTAAAGTGATTAAGTCAGCTTTGGAGCACCCAGAATATCCCTTAGCGTCTAAGTGCAAACTCTACACAGGCCCGGATTTTAAAGTTTTCACTTTGGGGTGCGCCCGTGACCGTTAAGGGCGCCCAAACCCTCAGCCACACCAAAAACAGGGTCAGATGGGAAGGAGCTGGGGAGCGTAATTAAGGGTCCCAGGAACTTCGACAAGCCTGGTGGTGATGTGCAGTCGCCTGCCTGATCTCCCCCCCGCGATGGTGCTGGGATGGCAAAGATTTGGTTTGTTGCAGCTGGTTGAGCGAAACGTATCGAATCGCGCAGACGAGTCAAAAGTGCTCATGACGAGCAATCACTGTTTCTGTTTGGGGTCGATGAATACAATAACGAGGATATGTGAAAGGGTTACACCAATGTCACATATATTATTTATTATACGCATACCGAGATCCAGCCCAGTGTATCACGAGTCACTACACTACATGTGGACGAAACTCATCCCGCACGTCCCTGCCTTGTCCGAGTCGGGCATCCTTGGCGAATTCACATCACTCACGTTCGTCGACCCTCAGTGCATGGGATCCGAGCCGCGTCTTCTCCAATCGAACTTGCTTGACGATGACCGGAAAAGGCTCTTATGGGGGAGGAAGAGGTGGGGCGAAGGGAGCAGGTTGGATTGCACTAGCTGGTTGGGTGATTTGCGTAAGGCGGCTGAGCAAGGCAACCAGGTGTAAGCGAGCATTTCCTAACGCGAAACGCGACGAGTTGGTGGAAACAGGAGCGTCATTTGCGGCGAACAGAAAGTGCGATTAGCAGAGCGAATAACAGTGCGACTAGCAGGGAGCGCGGGCGATCATGTCGGGGGCGGACTTAGAGCCGTCGGGCGAGACAGCGGGCGAGGCGTGGATACAAGTGGACGACGGAACGAGCCCGCGCGAGAATCGCAAGAGCGGCCTCGTATGGGCAGGTAGGTGCCCACTCGTGCTCCGCGCCCACTCGTCTCACAATCCGCGATTATTCGCTTGGGCTGACTCAACCCCCTCCATCCCCGCCTCGCCATTCCTCTCATCCCTTCCTCGGCATGGCAGGCCCGGCGCATGCGCAGCGACAGCGGGGGCGGGGCGCAGCGAGGGCCGCGGGTGTGACGGACGGCACGCAGTGTTTCTTCCCGGCGCGCCTCTCCAAGTACTTCCCCTTCGGCTCGCTGCTCGTCCTCAACTTCGCGTTCGTGCGTCCCGCTCCGCGCCCTCCCTGCTCCCCTTCTTCCCACCTCTCGCTGTTTCCTTTCTTCGTTTTCTTACCCGTCGCTTACTTCCTCCTTCGCTACCCCGTCCTTCTCGTCACTTTCTCTTGCCGCCACCCCTCTCCCGCCATCCCTCGCTGTCGCCTCGTGCGTCTGCCCGTGTGGGGTGCGCGCAGGTGCTGGCGTCGTGCGCGGGGGACGCGGCGAGTCGCAAGACGGCGATAACCGTGGCGCTCATCTGGTGCCTGCTCGCCTCCACGCTCCTCGCCTTCCTCAAGCGCCTCCCGCCTAACTCGCCGCGGTTAGTCATGCGCGCTTGCTTTCTCACTGCCTTGCCTCCCTAGTGCTTTCGGATGGGCTATTCGTCCACGAATTTCCCGCGCAGCCGCGCAAGTCACGCGGAAACTCGTGGTTGCTAAAAGTGTGCCCCCCGCTTTGCTCCCGCGGGGCAGTGCAGCACATTCCCTCTGAGCGCCCACCGCGTGGCTGTCATCAGGCTTGCCGCATGCTGCCTTCCCCCCACATTCCCTTCCCCTCTTGCCTCCACGGACTCTTTCCCCTCCAGGTACGGCGGCGCCAGGGTGCTGCGCACGGCGACGGCGGACTTCGTGCTGATGTGCGACGCGCACGTGGTCGGGCACGCCGCCATCTCCGCCGTCGCCTTCACGTCGCTCGGCTTCTTCACCGAGTCCGTCCGCCAGCCGCTCTTCCCAGGTACCGCCCGCACCCCGCTTGCCTTCCCGCCTGCCCCATCCACTGCATGTGCTGCACCTTCCATGTGCGCCCTTTGACTCCTATCCCCGTTGCCCCTACGCATTCCTTTCTCTGGCAGGCGTGGAGCCGCTGTGGTTCCTGGCGGCGCAGTACGTGCTGCTGCTGTTCGCGTGTCTACTCACGCTCGTTGTCGTCGACGCCACGCCCGGCCTCACCACCATCCCCTTCCCCTTCCCCCTCGCGCTCCCCGCCTCCCCGCCGCGCAACCACCTCTGCGCGCACGCCTGCCCCGGGCACCGCGCCTGCCTGCCTTCGCGCCTACCCGCCCTTCCGCGCTCTACCGACCTCCGCTCGTCTGGCGGCTCCGCGCTGTTCGCCGCCAGTGCCGCCGCTGCTGCCGGCGGGAAGTCGGGCGAGCAGGCGGGCGGCGAGACTCCGCGGAGAACCCCCTCCCGCACGCCCTACTTGCTGCAGCTGGCGCGCGAGGCAGGCGCGCCCGTCGCGCCAATGACCCCCGATGCGCTGCTGCCCGCAGAAGCCGCGCAGACGGGCAGAGGAGAGGAGGTGATGGAAGTGACGGAAGAGGTCCGGAGGAATGAGCGCGCGGGAGTAGAACAGGAGCAGCGGAGTGTGGGGGCTGGGGAACCAGGGGGTAGTCAAGAGCGCGGGGCGGAGGACACCGTTGCGCCTAGCGGACACGAGTCTGCGGAGGGAGCTGCGGAAGTTGGTAAGGGGGGGATGGCAGAACCAGAGGGCTGTGCGGAAAAGCAAGAAGCGGAGCGGAACGAGCAGGATGTGCAGGGCGGCAGCGAGGGGGGGGAGATGGAACGGGCAGGGCGGACTGAGGCGGAAGCACGGAAAGATGCGGGCACAGGTGGGGAGGAAACAGAGTTGGAAGCAACAGAGGCGGAAAGAGCTGAGGCGGAAACAGCAGAGGCGGAAGCAGCATCGGCGGAAGCAGCAGAGGCGGAAGCAGCAGCGGCGGAAGCAGCCGAGACGGAAGCAGCAGAGGCGGAAGCAGCAGAGGCGGAAGCAGCAGAGGCGGAAGCAGCAGCGGCGGAAGCAGCCGAGACGGAAGCAGCAGAGGCGGAAGCAGCAGCGGCGGAAGCAGCAGAGGCGGAAGCAGCTGAGGCGGAAGCAGCAGAGGCGGAAGGAGTAGAGCCAACAAGAGAAAACGCAAAGAAATACGCAGAGGCAGCGGAGATGCAGAAGGAAGTAGAGGCAGGGACGGGAGGGAGCAGCAGCACGGCGGTTGACGCGTCCACAGCCACTGGCGCCTCGCCAGCGTGTGCCGCCCAGCCTTCCTCTGCCAGCCCTGTCCGGGTCTCCGCAGCGCCTGCTGCCGCCTCCGTCGCTGCTGCGCCGGCGCGGGCTGCCAAGGCGCCTGTCGCTGCTGGCAGCCGAGCGGGCAACAGCAACGGCGGCGGCGGTGCAGCGAAGGCAGGAGGCGGAGGCGCGTGGGCGAAGGCGAGCGGAAGGCGGGAATTGTGGGGCAGCGCGACTACGAAGGCGGGCGCAGGGGGGGCAGCGGAGCCTGGGAAGAGGAACAGCAAGGCGGGGGGCGAGAGGGGCGCGAGGGGCGGAAGTACGGGCGGGCGCACGTCGGGGGGGAGGCGGGAGAGGAGGGCTGCAGATGAGGGGGAGGACGAGGGGGGAGATCCGCGTGCAGCGGTGGGGAAGGAGGGGTGCATTGCAGAGATCAAGGCGGAGCAGCACGGCTTGGAGGCGGAGGAAGGGCGCGCGCGAGAGGAGGCGGCAGATGAGGGCTGCAGCCCGGCGGAGGGGGAGCGAGAGCCAGAGGCAATTGCGGAGGGGTTAGTGGGGAAAGAGCCGGAGGAGGGGGCAGTAAGAGGGGATGAGGTGACGGAGGAAGGGGAAGGGGGTGAGGGGGCGACGGAGGAAGCAGTAAGGGGGGAGGAGGCAGAGGAGGGAGTGCGGGAGGAGATGACGCGGCGGCTGGTGGTGGCGCGATTCCACAGCCTCGTCAGCCACGTCAAGGCCGCCGCCGCTGCCCTCCTGCACGCCCACGCGGCGGACGGGCGCGCCACACCCCCTAGCGTGGGCAGTCCGCCAGAGAGCGGTGCGGGGGAGGGCGGAGGCGGGGAGCAGGGGAGGGCGGAGGCGGAGTATGAGGGGGCGGTGCAGCAGGTGGGGCGCATGGTGGGCGCCATGGCGGGTATGGGCCTTCAAGACCACGTCGCTGCATGGCTTGCTTGTGACGCGCACCTCCCCGCCCTCCTCTCCGCCACCCGCCCCATCCCCCCCTCGCCCTCGCCCTCGCACTCCCCTGCCCTCCCTTCCCCCCACCCCTCTCCCACCTGCTCCCCTTATTTCGCCTCCCCATCATCCGCCAGTCCCTACCCGCCGCCCCTGGCTGCCTTCATCCCCCCAGTGCTGCTCCCCGCCCTGCGCCTCCTCCCCTCCCTTCCCCCCGCCTCCCCCACGCGCCTCCTCTTCCTCCGCCTCTGGCTTCCCCTCCTCGCCTGCGTTCCCCCGACCCCTGATGTGCGCGCAGCACTGGGGGAAGTGGTGGAGGCGATGGGGGAGGGGGAGAGGGCGGAGGTGGAAAGGATGGTGGCGCAAGTGATGAGGGCGTGGGGGGAAGGCAGTGAGCAGTGAGCGGGGGCGGGGAGGTGAGAGGTGCAAGAAGCGGACCGTGCTGGGGGGATGAGGAGAAATGCTGCCCGCCGTGCTGCTGCCTGCAGCACGCAGCTTTTGCATTGCATGCCTGCTGCCTGGAGTATAAATTTGTAGCTTCCGTAGCTCTGCCGTAGCGCCGCCGTAGCTCTGATGTGTAGCTCATTCCAGTTTTTTTCAGGAAGCCAGGGAAAACAGGTGTTAATCGTTCCATTGCTGCTTCTGCTAAAGTAATCAACCACTTCTGAGAGATTTTCTTGGCACTATGTACCGGTATATAGAGGGACCACGTGACTTGGGTATGAGCTGAGGAAATGAACCGACTCTCAAACGACCATGGTATCATGAGTCAAGATGATAGTGGATGAGGAGAAACGGGGAAAGGGAGAGCGGTTGTTGCTAGGAGGCACATTGTCCTTTCCTTGCCCATCCCCCCGGCTCACTCCACTGCATGGGACCAGCAGCTGCAACCCCCCGGCCAAGTGACCATACAGTATCCCCCTCAGGGCCCTAGATTCGTTTTAGGACACGCTGTTGGGTCAGAGTACACCCTCATCTAAACTCTGTCAGTCAGACTTGCATGCAATATTGTTACGGGTGCGATGAATCGAGGTAGCGAGAATTGCACTAAGGTGTCAAACGAGTACAAAATGTGAGCGAAGGCATGAGCGAGCATTTATACGCGAAACATGCAAAACGGTAACGCGGTGCGTGCGAACTTGCTAGTGCTACGCTGGAGCGAGGCTCGGGCTAGTCCCGAAGCGTAGGCCGATACGGCCATGCCAGCAGTGCGAGGTTTGGTCAAAACAGTGCGCGCGAAGTCGGCGAAGTTCCGTTAGCAGTAACGGGCGAACAGTCGGCTGTTGCTGTACGCGATGTAGTCGGCTCCGTAAGGAATGCCTGAGAAAATTCCTTACACTACCCCCCCCCCTTAAGAAGCCCCCTCCGCTACGCGAGTGCGTGTATATCGCGGAATCCCCGGCTTCTCAAGTACACTTGCAGGGCAGGGTGATTTTCGATGTTGCTCAGGGGCACCCAGCTATCTTCAGTTGGCGTGCGGTCTTTCCAGCGAACGAGGAATTCAATCCTCCTGATTCCCGTGGGGTGGCGGATCCGATGGCTCAAAAATTTTTCGGGCTCGATGATCGGCTCTGATGCAGGGCGAGTCATTGATTGTGGCCGGTGACGCGGCAGTTGACTCGTGGTCGGGATGTATGGGCGAAGTAGGCTGACGTGGAACGAAGGGCTGATGTACCAGTCAATTGGCAACAGTAGGTGCGCGGTGACGGGTGTGATCATGTGACTGATTTGGAATGGTCCACAGTAGCGCGGTCGTAATTTTGGTACGTCGGGCAGTCGCAGATTTTGCGTGTCGAGTAGCACGTAATCTCCAGATTGATACGTGACGGGGCGGCGGTGGCGATCAGCGTTGCGCTTAGCGATGACGTTGGCCTTTTTTATTGCTTCGGCGGCTCTGGCGCGGGCAGCTTGCAGGATTTCGGCGAATTGTTGTGCGCGTGGCGTTGGGTTGTCCGGACTCGGCGTCATGGGCACTGTGGGGTTCTGCCCATAGTTCAGGTAGAACGGGGACTGCTGCGTCGTGGCTGATGTGGCGTTGTTGTACGCGAACTCGATCAGCGGCAGCTGCTGCTCCCAGGTCGTGGGGTCGTCGCACGTGGCACGAATCAACTGCTCCATCGTCTGATTCGTCCGCTCCGTTTGGCCGTCGGTCTCGGGGTGGTACGACGAACTGAACTGTAGCCTGGTCCCGAACTGCTCCCAGAGGTTCTTCCAGAAGTTGCTGGTAAACTTCGTGTCCCTGTCGCTGATAATTGCTGCTGGTATCCCGTGCAGGCGAACAACGGCTGCGATGAACAGGCGAGCGGTCTCTTCGGCTGAGATCGACTTTTTGCACGCAGCGAAGTGTGCCATCTTCGTCAACCTATCCACGACGACCATCACCGCGTCGTTACCCCCAGGGTTCGAAGGTAACCCTGTGACGAAGTCCATGGTTACTTGCTGCCAGGCGCGTTCGGGCGGTGGGATCGGTTGCAATTGACCCGCCTTCCGCTTCCTTGAACTCTTCATCACCTGACACGTCGGGCACGAGCCCACGTGCTGCTGTACGTCGGTCAACAGCTCCGGCCAGTAATAGTACCGCTGCAGTTGCTGTCGTGTTTTTTCTACCCCGAAATGTCCCGAGGTAATCCCGTCGTGTGCCTCCTGCAGTAGCAGCTCCCTCAGTAGTGAGTACGCGGGTACCCAAATGCGGTTGGTGCCTGTTTTTACGTAATAAACTCCTTTTGCTTCTGCCAGTTGCTGTGAATTTCCGGTCGTGAAAAATGGGTCGGTGCGGTATCCGTGGGTGAATAGGCCAGTTAAAAGCGGGTTGGTCTGGGCGAGTAGGATGGCGTGGAGTTGGGCGGTGGGGCGGGTGAGAGCGTCGGCGATGTTGGATGCTCCTTTTTTGTACGTGACGGTGTAGTGAAAATTGGACTCGAGATAGTCCAACCAGCGAATCTGTCGTGGGTTGAGATTCGGTTGGGCGCGAAGGTACTGTAGCGAGCGGTGGTCTGTCCGTACTGTCACGTCGGCACCAGTCAGGTAACATCGCCAAACTTTGAACGCGTGCACGATCGCTAGCATCTCGCGGTCGTGTATCGGGTAGTTACGTTCGGGCGGGTGTAACTTGCGGGACTCGTACGCGATTGGCTGGAGGCCATTCCCGAAATCCTGCAACAGTACTGCTCCCACAGCGATGTCACTTGCGTCGGTGACGAGCTCGAACGGACGGTGGGGATCTGCAATGTGAAGGACGGGCGGGGAGCACAAAATATTTTTGAGGGCCGAGAAGGCAGCTTGCTCTTTCTCCCCCCACGTGTACTCAACCCCCTTCCTCAGCAGGTCAGTCAACGGGGCAGTCAGTTTCGCCATGTCGGGGACGAACCGGCGCACGTAGTTGATGTCAGAACATATCTATAGCTTATACTGCTGTGTAGGCTGTAGTGGGGTATCCCATAGGGGGTACAACCCAGTTAGGGTTTCATATTTGTACTGCTTTCATTCATAGTTCATTCATTCCTGTTCATTCCTTTCACATGGTATAGAGCGGGTTCCCTGTGGGAACTTCGCCTAGGGCCCACCGAAGCGCGCCCCGAGGCGCGCGATCCTTTTTTTTAGCGACCCCCCCGAGTCGCCCTTCCCCTGCGGCCCCGCCGCCCTTCGTTCGCGGCCCCGCCGTCCAGTCGCGGCCCCGCCCTTACGTCGCGGCCCCGCCCTTACGTCGCGGCCCCGCCACTTAGTCGCGGCCCCGCCACTAAGACGCGGCCCCGCCACCCAGTCGCGGCCCCGCCGCCTACTCGGACGCGGCCCCGCCGCCTGCTAAGACGCGGCCCCGCCGCCTGCTAAGACGCGGCCCCGCCGCCTGCTAAGACGCGGCCCCGCCGCCTGCTCAGCCGCGGCCCCGCCGCCCTCTACGACGCGGCCTCCGCCGCCTGCAGACGCCGCGGCCTCCGCCGCCTGCTCAGCCGCGACCCCGCCGCCCGCTACGACGCGGCCTCCGCCGCCTGCTCAGCCGCGGCCCCGCCGCCCTCTACGACGCGGCCTCTGCCGCCTGCTCAGCCGCGGCCCTGCCGCCTCCTACGACGCGGCCCCGCAGCCTGCTCAGCCGCGGGTGCTTCCAGCGGCCCTCCGCTGCATCCTGACGGTCCGCCACTGCACCCTGACGGCCCCGCCGTCCCCTGTCTCGGCCCCACCGCTGCACCCTGACGACCCCGCTGTCCCTTGTCCCGGCCCCGCCACTACACTGCAGCCGAGCCGCCCAGCAGCAGCCGAGCCGCCCAACAGCAGCCGAGCCGCCCAGCAGCAGCCGAGCCGCCCAGCAGCAGCCGAGCCGCCCAGCAGCAGCCGAGCCGCCCAGCAGCAGCCGAACCGCCCAGCAGCAGCCGAGCCGCCCAGCAGCAGCCGAGCCGCCCGGTACCTGAGCCGCCCGAGCCGCCCGAGCCGCCCGAGCCGCCCGAGTCGCCCGAGCCGCCCGAGCCGCCCGAGCCGCCCGAGCAGCCCGAGCCGCCTGCTGCTGACCTACCCGACTCTCCCATCCCGGTGAGACTTTCAGCTGCTGCCATGGCCACCCCCAATGTTCTCACTTTTGACGCTGAGGGGAGGGCCATTGACTTTGCCGTCTGGATCGAGGACCTGCAGCTGTACTTACTGTGTGATGCGGTAGATGAGGTCTCTCTCTTTGACTTTGTCTCTGGCGCTGTCCCTGCCCCGCCTGCTGATGCTGACTCTGCCGTTCGCTCCAAGTGGGCGACCCGCGATGCTGCTGCACGTCTTGCTGTGCGTCGCCACCTCCCTTCCTCTGAGCGTGCCCACTTTAGTCAGTGCAAGACCGCTCAGGCCTTGTACGACGCTGTAGTTGCGCGCTACTCCTCCCCTTCCTCCGCTACCCTTAGCCGCCTCATGCTACCGTTTCTCTTCCCTGACCTCGCTTCCTTTCCCACTGTCGCTGACCTCGTTACCCACCTCCGCGCTAGTGACACCCGCTACCGCGCTGCCCTTCCTGCTGAGTTCCGCGCTGCGAACCCTCCTCCCATGTACATCACTCTCTACTTTCTCGTCACCCGTCTCCCTGAGTCCCTTCGTGTCGTTAGGGACCAGTTTCTCTCTGTCTGTCCCACCACTCTCACTGTCGACCTCCTTGAGGAGTCCCTGCTAGCGGCTGAGAAGAGTATTGTCGCTGTAGGGGCCTCTCGGGGTGACCCTCGCACCCCCATCTTTGAGGGGTGTGGTCCCTCCCCCCTGCTGCCCTCTGTCGCCTCTGCCGCTGCGGCCGACCTCGTTGGTTTTGAGTCGGTCGGTGCGGCGTCTGCCCCCAGTGGCAGACGCCGCACTGGCAAGGGCAAGGGGGGCAAGGGAGCGGGTGGAGCCAGAGGGGGCGGTGGAGGAGGCGGTGGGGGTGGAGGGGGGAGTGGGGGTGGCGG